TTTGACAAATTTTGAACGCCTAACTTAACTCTTTAAAGATTCGAATGTTAAATAGTCCCCTATTATTTCTGGATGGTAGAATGAACGGGTGATTTGCGTCTTCGATAAAAATAAGTGGAGACAGTTTGATAAATTCTTTGTATTTAGGCATTTATAAAAAAAAAAAGAATATAACTTATTACTTTTCGTAGTAGGATACCTAACAAAAGTTTTTTTTTTTTTTTACTAGATTCACATTCACGTAACGGTTTTTAAACAAGAACAATGCAAGTTCTTGACTACTTTTCCGTCCTTTTTTTTCTAACTAGATCTCTCTAATGAACGAGTTAAACTTAATATCTAAATACAAAACTAAATGAAAGATTAATTTAATCTATTTGATAAAAAAAATAACAATAGAATTATGTAGATTATGATTCCCGATTGGCTTATAAACTGTAACTCTAAATTCAACCACTCGATTATGCTAACTTCAGCTTATCACACGTAACAACGAAGCGAAGCGGAGTACGTAACTTACGCATTGTTTCATTTTTTGTATGTATGCGAACACTTTCGTTTCATTGTTCCAAGAAGAAGAGAATTTGTCCGTCAGCCGTTACTTATTAGGACACAACAGTCAAATGTTAATGTAGATGTCTGTTCTCTCTTTTGTCCGTGAAGGTTACTTTTTTTTTTCTTTTCTTATCAAAGTCAACGAAGTCTCTGATTGACCCCACTCTTTACTTTGACTAATGAGTCATTAACGGAGTCTAACCGTTTTCCTTTCGTTTTGTTTGTCTGCGAGTGCACGTAACCTCCTCCGTTGCTCCAGGCGCGTGAACGTCACTTTTCCCATTAATGACGTGTATCTTTCTTTTGTTTTTTTTTTTTTTTAAATTCGGTAATTATTCTTTTCCGACCGACCATTCCAATCCTTTATCTTAATTTTTTTTTTAATTATCCGATTTTGAATTTAATTTCTCTTTTCTTTATCTTTTTTAGGTGTAATAATAATATCCCCTTTTGTTATCATTGTAGAGTTTGGTGCTTTTAAATACAGTACTCCCTCCGTTTCATAAATAGTGTCGTTTTAGAGTTTTATTTTTGTTTTACAAAGAGTGTCGTTTTAGGTTTTCAATATAAATTTATAACAAAATATTCAGTTTTAACCTTATTACTTTAATGTATTAATTAGAAAGAGAGTGTTATTTAGTGTATTTATTGGGGATAGAAAAAACTTTTTGTTAACTTTTTTAATTTATGTGAAAAGTCTTAAAATGACACTTATTTTAAAACAGAGGATGTATAATTTATATACAGATATTTGAAACTAATGTTAATTTTACACACGTCTTGTGACTTAAAACTCGTCAAATTTTCACAAGTAAATTTGTTATACATCTACATAATAAAAGCCTTATTCTACGGAGATATATTTTTCAAAGGGTTGAATAATTCGTTCAAGTTAGTATGATTAAAAAAAAACACAGCATTGGGAATATCGGACCAAGAGTTGAAAACAGAGGAGAATGCATAATAGCTAAACGACGAAATCGTAGTCAACCAAGAAGTAAGAACATCTGAATTTAGTTAAACCTAATATAAATTAAATACAACAAACTCCAGTTACTTTCCGAATATTTTTTCTTTCTAGAAAGTATAAATAAACTTAGACAATTGGATATAAGTAACTATGATAACATTAATGATGAACCAGATAAATAAATACTCATTGGAAGGTGGGTCGAGTAACCGTTAAATCGTTAATGGATAGTTACAGAGGTCAATGAGTTAATAACTTCTCTTTAACCTTTATTCCTTTAATGCTAGTACGTTGTCGATCCCTAGAACTGATCAACACCACGTCATACGAAATCTCTGATTTCTTATTTAATGAATTATCTACAACTTTTCCTCAAAATATTAAGACTGTCGTCTTTCGGTCAAATTGATTTTCGAGTTTAAAATGCAGCACATCTTTTAGAGACTTAAGAGTATAATATATTCTTTAGGTTTGCCCTACTTTAGAGTCCTTTTTTAGCTTTTAATTTTTGCTTTCAATATGTAATTCCTGTTTCTGATACTAAAAATCTTATATATATTATAGTTCCTTCGTTCTACGATTTAAGATTTTTTGGGTTTTTTTTCTGTTTTAAAAAATTGATTTTTTAAATTAATAAAGTTTCACTTTCCAAAAACATAAGCTAAAAGTTTATTAGAAATATAGAAAGTTAAAATTAATTTAAATATTTATTTGATAACATTTTTAAATAATATTAAATTTAAGTATTAAATTAAAACAAAAAGTTTTATAAAAAAATAGGTAATGATGTTTTTTAGTATATATGAAAAACCTAAAAAATCTTAGATTATAGAACGGAAGGAGTACTAAATTGTCATCTATTTTTTTTCTTTCTTTTACTTCAAAAATAATTACTACAAACGTTTGACAATACTGCAGAAATTACATAATTTCTTCGTTCACTTTCTTCACCTTAATCACCAAACTTATTAATTTTGTTCAGTTTTTCTTCATTTTGTTGAAATCATGATTTATACGTTGACCCTTTTTCATATAATAAAGCTTAAAGAATGAAGAAACAAAAGAGAAAAATGAGGCAAAACCCATGTTGCAGAGTCATTATCAACTACGGGTGCATAATGATGGAACAAAGCACAAATCTTTTAACGCAAACTAACTACAACCTTCTATTGGGGTCCCAATCCCCGACCCTAATGTTTTGGAATTAATAAAAGTACTACAAGCATTTACCCCCCCCCAAAAAAGTCATTATAAATCCTTCTCTTATAAACAAAATGTGGTTTCATATTAGTTTCACAACACCGTTACTTTGTATTCCTATTATAATGGACCAGGAAATCATTTGCATATGAACTGCAATGATACAGTGTCCACTTTATTTTGTGGGAGACATTTACCAGATTCTATTAAATTGGTTTTTCCCTTTTATGAGTTGGGTAATTGTTAGTGGGTACAATTTTCTTTCTTTATTTTGAACTTCCGATTTTTTTTTTTATCGGAAAAAATCTGTTATTCTTTGTGAACGGATCAATATAAAGCCATTGTATTTGAAAATAGCTTGTATGTGGACAAGTTATATATGATTTCTTCACAAGACTATGGGGATGATTTACCCACCAACAATAATAATTCCATTACAAGGTTTCAATAATCTGCACGACATATCTATTTTTCGAATCTCAGTCTACATCATTTGACACCATGATAACGAATAAGTTTATTCTGCAATTCATCTTGAGATAGATTAACAAAACAAACAAGCAAAAAACCACCTTGAGATAGAAAACAAACAAGCAAAACAAATTCAGATGTCAACAGAAAAAATATAAACATCTACATTCACAACAAGCTAGCTTCCTTTTATCAGCTAACTTCGTTTTCTAATCAAAACAACAACTTTCCCGCCTGCTTATGTCCATCTCTTTGAATATTTACACCTCTACCTCGTTTCCTCTAATTTCTATTTTAGTCTTTCTATTCAAAAGTATAGTGATATTTTGTCTAAGGCTAATATATAGTCCAACGTATGTATTTTATTTATCTGTGAACATACTTTTAAGATCAGTTTTATATAAATATATATATACTATATAATTTATATGTATGCAAAGGTGGATGTAGAGCAAGACATCCACAATTAAATATAAATGCTATGTAAATGCCTCTAACCAAAATTCGAAACAGTGAGAACAAAAATTATGTGATTCTAGCTAAATACATACCTAAATCTGCCCTTGTATACATGTATATAGTATCTTATAGTTAATCTTACGTCCGAAAATAAAATGATAGTTTTCTTTTCAAATAAAATAAAATAATAGTTTATTATAATTAATGCAACACTGAAATTGATTCCAGTGCCACTCGCTCGTATCGAAATTCGAAAGCTATATTCTCTCTTTTGTTTTCTCTTTGCCTAATTTAATAATCACAAATGAATTCAATCCGAATATATCGACATAGTATATGCCCTTACATATTATTTCTGACTTTTCTCTATCCGAATTTCTCCCCTCATGGTAATTTTTTAAAATATATATTCTAATTTTAATTTTCACATTAAAAAAAAAGGTGAAAAGAAAACAAAGTGTCATATCAGTAAGAGCAATCCCAATGGTAACACCACTAGAAAGGGTCTTATGATTAATTATTAATATTTTATATACTTTATATATATAAGACACTTAGTAGAATTTTGTTGTTTTTAAGCATACAATGGAGACACTTTGATGAGTGTCTTAAAAAAAAATTTTTTTAAAAATTTATGTAAAATTTATTTTAACAAATTTTAAATCATAATATATTTTCACAAAGGTAATACATATAAACATATCAATTATAGAAATGCAATTCAGTGCTTGTTGAGAAGTTTTCTCCTTTGGAATTTCAGTGCTTATTGCTAGGTATGAGATTTCAGATACTTCGGATAATTCGAATCGGATAATTTGGATAATTAGATAGTTTGGATTACTAAAATTCTACCGAAAATAATCGAAGTTTCTTATCTGAAACTATCCAAACTTTTAATTTTTTTTTTAAATTAGATTAATTTCGGTTAGATTCGGATTATTTCGGATATTTTCAGATAGTTTGAATGGAAGACTTTTTTGTCAATTTTTCCTATTCACTTATAATATGCCACATGTCCGTTCTTAAATAAGAACAAAGATCCTAATTTAGACACTGGTCTAAAAATTAAGACACTCCTTATAATTTTTTTATTTAATTATATTCTTAAGAACATTTATTAGATTCTTTAGTGTTATCATTAGGGTTGGTCTAAGATAGTTTGGGTGAAGAGTGAGCAATCACGATAAGAATTAAGTTCCAAAAACAGATATTAATATGACGCTAAAAATAGAGAAAAGAAATATAAATATAAATAAAATAGAAAATTTAATGTAACGAAGACACGTGTCACTACTGTACCCTACACTAAAGAGACGGCTCTTGTTTCTCTTCTCTATGCTTGCCTCAAGGCTCTCTTAACTATCTTCGCTTGTCTCCTCTTCGGATAATCCTATCCCTCTCTCCCTATAAATACCTCTTCACTCTCCTTCTTCCTCCACCACCACTACCACCGGAAACAACCACCGGATAAACAAAAAATCCCCTCCCAAGATTTTTAAACCAAAGATTATTTTCTTTTACTTCTTCTGATCAGAAATATGGTCACTCATCAAATGGAGAAAGCTTCGAACGGCACGGCGGCTCTGGAGACGCAGACGGGTGAGCTTGATCAGCCGGCGGCGCTTCGAAAAATCATATCGGTGGCTTCTATTGCCGCCGGTGTACAGTTCGGTTGGGCTCTACAGTTATCTCTGTTAACTCCTTACGTGCAGCTACTCGGAATCCCACATAAATGGGCTTCTCTGATTTGGCTCTGTGGCCCAATCTCCGGTATGCTTGTTCAGCCCATCGTGGGTTACCACAGTGACCGTTGCACCTCAAGATTCGGCCGTCGTCGTCCTTTCATCGTTGCCGGAGCCGGTTTAGTCACCGTAGCCGTTTTCCTAATCGGTTACGCCGCCGATATAGGTCACAGCATGGGTGATCAGCTTAACAAACCGCCGAGAACGCGAGCAATCGCGATTTTCGCTCTCGGGTTCTGGATTCTTGACGTGGCAAACAACACCCTCCAAGGTCCCTGCCGAGCTTTCTTGGCTGATTTATCCGCCGGGAACGCCAAGAAAACGCGGACCGCAAACGCGTTTTTCTCGTTCTTCATGGCGGTCGGAAACGTTTTGGGCTACGCGGCGGGATCTTACAGGAATCTCTACAAAGTCGTCCCTTTCACGATGACAGAGTCATGCGATCTCTATTGCGCGAACCTCAAAACGTGTTTTTTCCTCTCCATAACGATTCTCCTCGTAGTCACTTTCGTCTCTCTGTGTTACGTAAAGGAGAAGCCATGGACGCCTGAGCCAACCGCCGACGGGAAAGCCTCGAACACTCCCTTCTTCGGAGAGATTTTCGGAGCTTTCAAGGAACTGAAAAGACCGATGTGGATGCTTCTTATAGTCACTGCACTCAACTGGATCGCTTGGTTCCCTTTCCTCCTCTTCGACACCGATTGGATGGGACGTGAGGTGTACGGAGGAGACTCAGACGCTAGCGCAAGCAAGAGCGCTAAAAAGCTTTACAACGACGGAGTGAGAGCCGGTGCGTTGGGGCTTATGCTTAACGCGATTGTTCTCGGCTTCATGTCTCTTGGTGTTGAATGGGTCGGTCGGAAAATGGGAGGAGCAAAACGGCTTTGGGGTGTTGTTAACTTCATCCTCGCTATTTGCTTGGCCATGACGGTTGTTGTCACTAAGCAGGCGGAGCATCACCGGCGAGATCACGGCGGCGCTAAGACAGGACCGCCTGGTAACGTCACGGCTGGTGCTTTAACTCTCTTTGCTGTTCTCGGTATTCCTCAAGCGGTAAGTCTCTCTCTCTGTTTTTGTTTTCTTTTTGTTGTTGTAATTTTTATATATTGGTTAAGATTAGCGTTAAAGAAATTAATTAATAACCGTAAATTGACCAGATTTGTTTTGTTAATTAATTGCAGATTACGTTCAGTATTCCTTTTGCACTAGCGTCCATATTTTCAACAAATTCCGGTGCCGGCCAAGGTAAATTTACGGTTATGAGTATTTTTCATTTAATTTAAAATTACCCTTTATGTTTTGGATAACATAAGTCCACAATCTTCTTAAAGTGTTGGGACCTTAAAAAGCTATAAGCATTTAATACGTACAGAGTCGTCATTTAAGTAACCGATTAATATATGGGTTTTCATAATCCAGAATATACCGTATATACAAAATTACCACAAAAAAGTAATCTCTCTACTAAAATAATGAGTAGTTTTTACCACACCAACAAATAAAACTGTGTAATCTTGAATTAATAATTTTAAACTAAAGATTTGTATATCTTTCATTCCAACAGGACTTTCTCTAGGTGTTCTGAATCTAGCTATTGTCGTCCCACAGGTAAATCGGTTTGAAATCAGTTTTAGTTTATTTAGTTAGAAAACAAAACTGTTATGACTTAAATATTTATAATTTTGATTTGATTAAAACGTAGATGGTGATATCTGTGGGAGGTGGACCATTTGACGAACTCTTTGGTGGCGGAAACATTCCAGCGTTTGTATTAGGAGCGATTGCGGCGGCGGTGAGTGGTATATTGGCGTTAACGGTGCTGCCTTCGCCGCCACCGGACGCTCCTGCATTCAAAGCTACTATGGGGTTTCATTAAAATTTTAGCAATCTTTGATTGGCTCTGTTTCTCTCATAAAACATTAGTGTTATTGTGCAAATCCTACATAAAGGGAAAAAAAAAAGGAAATTAAACTCATTGGGTTGGTTTGTATTTTACCTAAACCCACTATGTTCCTTTTTTTTTTGTTGTAACTGAATTTTCATTTGGAGTATATTTTACCTTTTGTTACCTTCAAGGCTTCAATATTACGCCTTCATTGTTTCGAATCTTTCGGTAACACCTCTTAGTCTACAATCATAACTATCAGTGTACTGATTACTCATTTCACAAATAATGTATCTTGTAAGGACATGGACATTTAGGAAACATATTTATACTTAATTTTAACTATGATTAATGTAAACAAGTTTAAGATGAATGTGGATGGATACAAAACAAACGATGAATTAAGAAAAGTGTATTTGTTTTCACTTTTGTTTTAATCCTGATTATTAAACGGTGAATTAAAACAAATACACTGTTGTACTTAAATGATTTTTTTCTCTAATACTACCTTTTAAATTGTACTTGGAAGTTGGAAGTTAGATTATTAGCTTATCCTTTTGAAAGCGATGTGTGATTTCTAATTACATGGACTCAGATTGATATAGTTTAAGGATACACAAATAGATTAATGATAGCAAATCTACTGTCGCTAATTTTTAGTATCATTTTGAGATTAAATCATCTCAACAATATACTCTTTATACAGCATCCGGTTATAAATTACACCTTTAATACTTTAATTGAGCATAATTTGATTTGAGCCCAAAGATTAATAATAATTTTAAAAGTGTGCAGAGTAATATATTTTTTTTAAATACATTAAAACCGGAAACCGGAAGAGCCAACGTGGGCCTTATCTTCTTCCTCCGTTCTTCATTTTATCTTGAGCTCTCTCTCACACACACACTCGCCAGAACGATTCCGATTTCGGACTTTCAGAGTAATCTCTCAATCACATCGGAGAGACCTTATGATCGAATCGAACATGCTACTCCACACGCTATCTTCTTCTTCTCCTCCCATTCACCGGCTCTATCTCCACCATTCCCAGATCCTCCCATCTACTGGCTCGCTTAAGTTCTTCTCGCCCAAGAAGATTTCTCTTCAGGTAAACACTCCACGTTGCTCTCTTCCTCTCAATTTCACGATTTCTGGCGATTTAATCTCAGCAACCTTACTGTTTCCTCTGTTTGAACTTTAGTGATTATGAGAAACGAGTGTTGATGAGGAACTTGAAAACATTCCAAAACCACAAATTGATTATAAGCTCATATTGATTTTCGGGTTTACTGCGAATTTGTGTAGCATCTGAAATTAGAACTGATCCAAAATCAGTTGAATCATGAGTCTCTCTATTCCTTATGAGCTGAATTACATTTTTTTCTCTGTGGTAATGTTTGGGGCTGTTCATGAATTTGCTAATCTTCCTCCATGTTGATGAAGGCAGATACATGGAAGGACTTTGGCCATTCGATCTTTTCATGGTACACTTTCACCTCTTCTTCCCTTGCTTAAAGTTTCAAACTTTGACATCTACTTGGATCTACTTGTGCCATATGTAATGGTTTTGAGTCCTAGCTGTTGATTCTGATCTATTTTCTCAATACTGTCTGCAGAATTTGATGCTAGAGGTTTGCCGGCTTTGAACAAAGCTTCCTTGAAGAAGCTACAAAGCAAAGTATCTACCTTTGTGGTGGGACAGAGCTTGTTGACGATTTCTGCTAACCCACAGATCGCAGCAGCAGCAGAAGTCGTAAAGCCCGAACCGATTTACGAAGTTGGAGAGCTGTTTGAACTTAGCATCCAGCTTTCTTACTTGCTGTTACTGCTTGGTTTGCTCGGAGTCGGTACTTTCTATGTCATCCGCCAAGTACTTGTCCGCAGAGAACTTGACCTCTCCGCTAAAGAATTACAGGTATTGTATCAAAAGTTCACAACTTTTTTCTCCTTAGATCCACAGTTCAGACCGGAGATATATTTGTGATCAAAGTATGAACCTTTGTGGTAGGTAACAGTAGAAAAAGTGAACCGTGATGAAAGTTTTGTTGAACAGGTTTGATGTGTTTTTATTATCTTGTCTGAATATTCTGAAGGAGCAAGTTAGGAGCGGCGATGCAAGTGCAACAGAGCTCTTCGAGCTTGGTGCAGTGATGCTGAGGCGGAAATTTTATCCAGCAGCTAACAAGTTCTTGCTTCAAGCAATCCAGAAATGGGACGGTGACGATCAAGATCTTGCTCAGGTAACATAAAGGTTTTTACTACATTACACTGTAATATCATATGATCCAGCAAGTTAAAAAAAAAGTCAAGTTGAGATTGTAAAATACAACTCTCGAGATAGGTCTATAACGCTCTTGGAGTGAGTTATGTCCGAGAGGAGAAACTGGACAAAGGAATCGCTCAGTTTGAAATGGCGGTGAAGATACAGCCAGGCTATGTAACGGCTTGGAACAACCTTGGCGATGCTTATGAGAAGAAAAAAGAGCTGCCTTTGGCGTTGAAAGCGTTTGAAGAGGTTCTGTTGTTCGATCCCAACAACAAAGTGGCTCGGCCTCGACGAGATGCGTTGAAAGATCGCGTTAAGCTCTATAAAGACGTTGTGGCGGTTAAGTCCAAGAAACGGTGACGGTGAAAAAAGTAGAAAAAACGCTGACTCGATCCAAGAACCGTTCGTCTCTCTCTCTCTCTCTCCTCTCCTTGTTTTTGTTTGTTTGGTAATTTGAACGGAGATTTTATGTTAATATGAAAATGAAACTTGTTTTTTGTGGGTTTGGTATTATTGAAATGTAACATTCACTATTCACGCTATATTAAACTCTTAAGACTTGGTAACCAATAAAACCACTCATCTTATTATTCGGAATCGACAATGCAAACATAGATAGATGGCAAATAAGCTCACACAAGATACAAAAGAAGAAACATAATTATAGAAGATGAGAGCATAGATAGAGTTTTTTGTAGTGTTTTTTAAGGACACTTGAGCTTATTGCCATGCGTACGGAGAGTGGCGTAGCAAGGACATGATGCTGTGTTGCCGGAGGTTCCCGGCGGCACACATTGACACTTGGCGCAGCAACTTCCACACGCTCTGTAACACACTTTCTTCCTCGACGTCTCTCTGCATCTCCTCGCGCACGCATACCCACAATCTACAAAATTTGGCTCCTCATTCATCATCAGAAGTTGTTGGAGCAAATGGTAAAAAGAAACGCAAAACAGAGGATCAGTGTGTTACTAACTGAATCGTGGACGATGATGGTGTGTTCTCTTAAACGCCGCCACTTGGTTCTCGTCGTTCGTCTGATGAATCTGTTTAGCAACAGAAGGAGACGGTTTTTTTTTATACTAATTTCACTCTCCGAAAGCTCGATTTAATATGTTTTTTTGAATCAATTTTACCTGAGAAACAGAGGATGTTTCAGCGTTTGTTGATGAAGAGAACTCAGCGAGTACCTGTGAAAGATCAGATATAAATTTTCAGTGTTTTTATATAGTTTGTGTGAAACAGAGAGAAGCTAATCTTGAAAAAGAAGGTTTGAACAATTTACCTGAGAAAGCAGAAAAAGAGAAATGAGCATAACAAAAGCCACAACTTTCATCTTCTTCATCTTCTTGGTTAGTGTCTTTAGAGATTTTGAAGTAGTTTGTGAAAATAGAGCTGTGAATGATTCTTTATATAGACACATTTGAGCTATTTTGTCTTCTTTCTCTTTCTTTTCTGTGTGTGAAAGAAAAAAATCTCCATGTTGGATAGAAATCACATGCATAAACTTTCATCGCTGGACTTAAACATAAATCACAGATTTTAGATTGCGTTTTGCTGTAAAGTGTTTGGAGTTTGATGCATGCAAGTATGCAACAGTTTTGATTGGTGCCCCTTTTTGGAGGAAGAGAGGAAGAAAATTCAAACCTAGTTCACTAAAAAGTAGATTTAAATCAAATTTGTTACATGAAAATGAGAGTTAATTCAGTAACTAAATTTAAATCAAATTTGTTACATGATAATGAGAGTTGATTTACAGTAAATATATATGGGATGGATTTTATTATGATGTTATTGTGTGTGACTTTACTGACTTGTCGACACACACGTATGGAGACAAATGTATTAAGTGTATCCTGTATAAAGAAATAGGCATTTAGGTACTTTGGAAGTTAATGTCTTAATGATTTCTTTGCCATAAGAGTGTTTACAGCTGTCTCTTAGTTCAGACATGGAGAGACTGAGAGAGATAGATGAAGGAAACGCAGACGCAATATTGTTCCCAAACAAAAAAACAGATGCAGTGTGTTTGGCAATTGGCATATATGTTAATACAAACGTCCTTTGAAATTTCCAAACACACATGAAATTGCAAACGGAGAACGATGTCAAATAACTACTTAGCGTTTGTGTTGGTGTTTTTATTTGTAAAGATTAAGTTATTATCATACCAAAAAGATTGAGTTATTATATAGTATGAAAACAGAAACGCAAACGTAAGCTTGTTTTTGTTTGTTTCTTTACCATTACTAGGTGTCTATATTTGATATAAACGGAAGTTTTAAAATTTTCATAATTGATAGAAAAAGAAAGAGAAAAGTAGTTTCATGCAGAAAAACTAAAAGACAAGTCTATAGTATTTGTTTTAGTAAATGGAAAGACAAAACACTGCGTGCAAATTGCATGTGTATGTTATTAATTGTGGGGGAAATAAGAAAACGACTCGAGAGGAGACAATAAAATTAATACTAATACTTTATCAAAGGACTTATGTGCCCAACGAAATACTATTGCCCAGAAAAGAGTCAGGCCCAATGGAATCCTTTATTGGGCCTGTCTAGAATTGGGAAATATTATAATTGGTTGAAATAGCTCCTAATTATCTTACTTTGAATGGCGGCTTCCTTTGCCTCCGCTCTAGCCTGCCCGCGTAGGATCTTATTCACTTATCTCTGAGAAATATTATGATTAGATTTATGATCCTCGTTAGGACTAAATTTACGCTTAACTAATCGTTAAACTATTAAGAAAAATCACTGGAATGAAAAGTTGCGGTCAAGCTTGGTTCACGTTAAGAAAAAGAAAGACTTTAAACGACTTAGAGAGTTCGTGTTAGCGGCAGCTCATTTCTTTCTCTTGGTATAGTCAGCTTCTTGTAAACCGTCGTTGATTAATTGGTATAGTGTTATCATGCAGTTACGTTCATGGGTTTGTAAGTTGTAATTTGTTCTTTTTTTTTTTAAAAAAAGGCAAGTTGTAATTTGTTACAGGCAGTATTATTATGTTAAAGATCGATAAACATCATGAACTCTTTCACAATTTTCTCTTTCTTATTTTTTTCTTTATAAATCAACATATTCTATAGTATACCAAGGACGAATCTCATATATCATTTTTTTCTGAAAAATTAGAGACAATAAATATAACACAGACTCACAGACTCACATATATAGATCATTACATTATTATATAAATATACTACATAGACTATAGTAGTCATATTTCTTACAAAAGCATGACTAATAAAAAAAAGATAATGTTTGTACCTTTGTTTAAGGGAATTTTGCGGAAAATTATAATATAAGCTCATTCTCGCACAATTATTTATCCCACGATGGAACTTAAACAGTTAACAATTGTGCTATAGTGAAACAATGATGTAACTTTTTTGCTATTTATCACAAGAGTTTGACAAGCAAAATATAATCTGAAAAATCCAATTCAATTATTTTCTTCACCTAATATAATCAATTGTTCTAACTTCTAACCAAAACAAAATAAATTAATGTCTTTAGTATCTAACTATCTACGTGGTGTCTGAGTAAGATCTTCATTATGAGATTGAGCAGATTTTGCGGAGAACTGTGAGGAAGGACCCATAATCTCAAATACCATTTCTTTTCTACACATGCCCAATGACAATCTTTTGGCAATATAAAGTATAACACCCCCCACCGTCCATTTCGGCGAGTCACCCATCTCTCAGTCAGGCTCGTGAGCCCCGCCTCTGTTCGATAGTCGGTGCGTTATTTTTCCCGAACCCTAACCGATTTATTTACTGACCCTGCAATCACCACATGATCTTTCCCCATGTTTTGGCCTCACTCACACGGTTTCAGGAATCACTTCCCGAAAGGTCACCCATCCTAGTCCTACTCCAGCATAAGCACCCTTAACTGTGGAGTTCTCTCGGGACATGTGACCGAAAAGATAAGTGCACTTTGATGATATAGGTAACCAAATTAATCCATTTAAACTTATTCAAATGGGCTGGGCCTGGGTCGTTACAATTATCCCCCACTAAACGGGAATTCGTCCCCGAATTCTGATCCCTATAGTGTGAGCCTTAATCCCCAAACTCTAGGACAGTCTCCTGGGACAGAACCAGTTTGACTAACCTGGCTCTGATACCAGTTGTAACGCCCCCGACCGCCCATCCCTCAGTCGGGCTCGTGGGCCTCGCCCCTGTCCGACAGTCGGTGCGTTATTTTTTTTTCCGGACCCCAACCAACTTATTCTACACATGCCCAATGACAATCTTTTGGCAATATAAAGTGTAACACCCCCCACCGTCCATTTCGGCGAGTCACCCATCTCTCAGTCAGGCTCGTGAGCCCCGCCTCTGTTCGATAGTCGGTGCGTTATTTTTCCCGGACCCTAACCGATTTATTTACTGACCCTGCAATCACCACATGATCTTTCCCCATGTTTTGGCCTCACTCACACGGTTTCAGGAATCACTTCCCGAAAGGTCACCCATCCTAGTCCTACTCCAGCATAAGCACCCTTAACTGTGGAGTTCTCTCGGGACATGTGACCGAAAAGATAAGTGCACTTTGATGATATAGGTAACCAAATTAATCCATTTAAACTTATTCAAATGGGCTGGGCCTGGGTCGTTACAATTATCCCCCACTAAACGGGAATTCGTCCCCGAATTCTGATCCCTATAGTGTGAGCCTTAATCCCCAAACTCTAGGACAGTCTCCTGGGACAGAACCAGTTTGACTAACCTGGCTCTGATACCAGTTGTAACGCCCCCGACCGCCCATCCCTCAGTCGGGCTCGTGGGCCTCGCCCCTGTCCGACAGTCGGTGCGTTATTTTTTCCGGACCCCAACCAACTTATTCTACACATGCCCAATGACAATCTTTTGGCAATATAAAGTGTAACACCCCCCACCGTCCATTTCGGCGAGTCACCCATCTCTCAGTCAGGCTCGTGAGCCCCGCCTCTGTTCGATAGTCGGTGCGTTATTTTTCCCGGACCCTAACCGATTTATTTACTGACCCTGCAATCACCACATGATCTTTCCCCATGTTTTGGCCTCACTCACACGGTTTCAGGAATCACTTCCCGAAAGGTCACCCATCCTAGTCCTACTCCAGCATAAGCACCCTTAACTGTGGAGTTCTCTCGGGACATGTGACCGAAAAGATAAGTGCACTTTGATGATATAGGTAACCAAATTAATCCATTTAAACTTATTCAAATGGGCTGGGCCTGGGTCGTTACAATTATCCCCCACTAAACGGGAATTCGTCCCCGAATTCTGATCCCTATAGTGTGAGCCTTAATCCCCAAACTCTAGGACAGTCTCCTGGGACAGAACCAGTTTGACTAACCTGGCTCTGATACCAGTTGTAACGCCCCCGACCGCCCATCCCTCAGTCGGGCTCGTGGGCCTCGCCCCTGTCCGACAGTCGGTGCGTTATTTTTTCCGGACCCCAACCAACTTATTTACTGACCCTGCAATCACTACATGATCTTTCCCCATGTTTTGGCCTCACTCACACGGTTTCAGAAATCACTTCCCGAAAGGTCACCCATCATAGTCCTACTCTAGCATAAGCACCCTTAACTGTGGAGTTCTCTCAGGACTTGTGACCGAAAAGATAAGTGCACTTTAATGATATAGGTAACCAAATTAATCTATTTAAACTTATTCAAATAGGCCGGATCCAGATCATTACATAAAGTGTAGTTAATATACATTTTGTGCAATTATTAACGTCATAGATTTCTTGTATAGGGACGACCAAAAAAAAAGATTTCTTGTATTAGGAGAGGAAATCTAAATACGTATATATTTCTTGTATTATCGCTAAATAATACACAATATACAACTCCTATATATAGTCTTCTTCAATAATAACTATTTTTCTCTAATGGTTTCTTTTTATAACTAAAACATGCATATGTAAATGTCTAGAATTCCGATATCGTCCACTGTTTTTTTTCCCTCTTCCATCAGTGCAATAGGGTCGAATCAACACAACAATAACCCATAAGTCTCTCCATGTTTTGACACATCAGCATTTTTAAACTTTTAGGAGATGACACTTCAGCAAAAAAAAACACCAATAAAAACATTTCATTAATACAAATCATCAATTTATTTTAACTTTTAAATTTAAACCCATTAAAAACTCAAATATTTTTTATTGTTAATTTTAGTTTTATTTTTTGGTCAAGTCCAAGTCCAAATAATAGATAACAGCAAATAAAAAAACAATTTCTTTTATTTTTTTAACAAACCCAAATAATAAATAATAACAAATAATAAAATTAAATCTTTGTTTTATATTTTTACCAAACCGAAACTCAAATAATAAATAACAGCAAAAAAAATTAAAATTTCTAAGTATGTGTTTGCTTGATAGAGACTTATATGATTGAAGAAAGTGTAGACTCATCATCAACTATTCTTTCATAACAACAATGCAAAAAGCGTTATGTTATAAGAAGCTCAGCTTGGAGATTCGCATTTCCACTGGTTACCGAGAACAAATTTTCTTGAGTTTGGCGGAAATAGAGAATTTCTTGGTTTTGGTAGAAAAATGTGATTTTCAGTTTTGGTAGGAAAACATAGTTTCTCGGTTATGGCGGAAAAAAGCAAATTCTCGGGTTGGCGGCAAAATGTGAATTTTTGGTTTTAGTGAGAAAGAAAAAATTTGATTTTGACGAGAAAATGCGAGGAAAATGCAACTTTTCAATTTTGACGAAAAATATGATTTATCGGTTTTGATAGAAACTGCAATTTTTCGGCTTTTGATGGATAATGTAATTTCTTGATTTTTGCGGAAATTTTTAATTTGACAATTTTGGCAAAAAATGCAATTTCTCGGGTTGATAGAAAAGCAAAATTTCTCGATTTTGGCGGGAATAAATAATTTCTTGGTTTTGATGGGTAATGCAAATTTTCAGTTTTTGACATATAATTTGATTTTAGGTTTTCGAGGGAAAATATGATTTCTTAATTTTCGTGGGAAACGCAATTTCTTAGGAGATGATTCAATTTTTGGTTTTTGCGGAAAATTATAGTTTATCGGTTTTGGTAGGAAGACATGATTCTTAATTTGACGAGAAAAATAATTTTTTTTTGTTTTGGTGGGAATAGACGATTTCTCGATTTTTACGGAAAAATAATTTTTTGGTTTTGACGGAAAAATACTATTTTTTGTTTTTGCAAGAAGATGAATTTTTTTGGTTTTGGTGAAAAAACTTGATTTCTCTGTTTTGACGGAAAAACACAGGTTCTCGCGGGAAAGTGTGATTTTTTGGTTTTTGAGAGAAAATGCAATTTCTTTGTTTTGATAGGAAAATGAAATTTCAGGTTTGACGAGAAAATGAATTTTTTTGGTTTTGGCAGAAAATGCAATTTCTCGGTTTTGGTAAAAAGATAAAATTTATATGTGCTAAATTTTCCAGTTATAATATGTTCTACCAAAATTGAATTATTTAACTTCAACTAAATTGATATTTGAACAGTTCAAATAGAACTTTCTATTTAGTTCTAAAGTAATAGTAATGATTTTGATATGAATGTTATTGATTATAGTTTGATAGTTTTGGAAACATATGTCTATAATAAATATTTGATAAATAAATAAATTTTATAATTTAAAATAATCATATTAATTAATATATTTTTAAATGGTAATTTGCTTTATATAATTTCAAATGAGGATCAAGTAGCAATTTAATAGAGAAAATAAATTACATTTATCATTAGCTTGAAGGTACTTAAAAATGTATTGTTTTATTCTTACATATACACTTATAGATAGTTAGCTAAACAAATTTGATAGTAGATTATAATTTTAAAAAATAAAAAATTAATAATATATAATGTTTATTCAGATTTAAAACATATAAATACATAACTTAAGCTAATAAAAAATAAATATAATACTCATTTAAAATATATAAATAATTTTATTATATTAAAAATATATACAAATCTAGAAAAATATCCTGCAGCATAGCGTAGATAAATACCTAGTTTTAATCAATATTCTATCGTTTACTGATCACTTTGAGTTTATAGTAAATTACTACTAAAAAGTACAATTTAGGACCGTGGAATTTCATTTCAATAAAATTGATAAAGGTCGAATATAACAGATCTTGTATATCAAATAAAATATTTTATCTTTCGTTAATTAGCAGCCAATAAAAAATGAAACACAAAACCTATTTGGACTATATTGTCCTTCACTTCCATAGTTTTTATACTAGAGTTCGAACGAAGAGAACAACAACCAAATGGATGATTCTTCGACTCCGAGGACCCGATTTGTATCCAGACGACTCGACCCGGTCAAGTTATCGCCCATGGGCACAATTTCTTCCCGGCGATCGTTCTCTTTCTCCACCAGTTCCATCTTATTCACCGACGACTCTTCAGGAACTCCTCTCCGTCTCCTCGGGGTCCCATTTTCATGGGAAAAACTTCCCGGCGAACCCAAAGAGCTCTCATATCACCGGAAAACCGAATCAGCAAACAACCTCTTGCCTCTCCCTCCTCACCGGAATAACTGCCTCCCGGCAGCCGGAAAACACTTCAGTCTCAACACCACCCGTAAGAAGAACACGCCATCGACGGTCATGAGAGATCCCTTCACGGCGGCGCTGGTAGAATGCTCAAGATGCGGCGGCGTTGAAGAGGGAAAACATACCGGCGGCGAATCAAACAAGGCCTTGCGGAAGAATAGCATCAGGTTAGTGAATCTTTATGCTTCTTGTAAAAGAGCTTGTGACGTGTCAGAATCCATTATTTATCTCCCGAGATCCGTCGCCGGAGTTGCTTCTTACGATCATCTTCTTAGCAGCACTCGTCGTCGTCGCCGATGATTTATCACTACTAAGTTATATAAGATTTTGAATAAAAGATAATAACTATATACAAACATATGTATTAAAATATATATGTTCATATTACAAGTAGTTGTGCTACGTTATCAACATCTTCTTGGACCGAGACTACTAGTACAAATTACAGTACTATTATTTACGACTACCATGCAATTCAATTCATACAGTATGTATTTCATTATATTTGTCTAGAATATGTTTTTTTTTCTTTTAATTATTGTTACTATTAATATACTATTCTTGTAAACTACGTACTGTTCCATATAATATATTTATCTTTTCCTGAGCATGACATATTACTGCTTATGATTTATACATGTCTTACCTATGTACGAAATCTTCCAGACGATATTTATTTTTTCTAACAACTCATACTTCGTTATACTTCACGAGGCCATGAGGGTTCGAGCTTACACCGAACAAGCTTAAATAGCTTCCTTTGCCAGAAAAATTAGCCTCTACATTTTCTTCACGAGGAATACAATTAAACGAGATAGATGCGTCAAAAGAAGAAAGGTTTCAGATTCAAGAAAGAATCATTGTAAAATCATTCATTCATCGTAAATGAGTTACAAGAGAAGCTTATATACAAAGCAAGTAAAGTAAACCATATAGCTAAACCTAACCCAAACCACTCAATAACCAACATAACATAAGCAGGAGTAAACCAACACTAAACCATAAATATATGTACTCTAATAAAAGGCTCGATGTGCTCTCAGATAATATGCCATGGATCTCTGAAAAAGGATGATTGGATCGAAGAAATGACGTTGATAATTTGAGAGGAATCCGATTATACTCGTAACTTCTTGATTTCCAACCAAATCGCTTGATAGATAGCAACGATGCCTATGTACCAAATCTTTCAGACGATAAAAAAAATATATATATATTGAATATACACATTATTTTTTTGTTTGTTATTAGAACTGGTTATGAGTTATGATCAATCGACTTTTGTTGTGGGTCATTCATGTCAGTCAATTATTCAATATTACTCTTATAAAATAGAGAAAACCGGAGGCGAATTTATCAGATAAAGGTATATTTTTGTCAACTTTTATTTCTTAACTTATGCAAACTACTGAATTTATAATTTTTTCTTTATATGACGTGAGTCATTTAAAATGGTAGTTAAATGATGGAAATGATAGGGATATATAAATGATTCATTGCCAACGACAGACAATGTTTACATATGATGTGATTCCAATTTATTGACATTATTATAGTAAATACATTCAATAACAAGCATTTCACCTAAAAAACAATTTCTAATTAAATACCAATAGGCTAGAAATCTTTATATATATATATATCAATACTGAAAAGTAACAAAATGTATCTCCAACTCGAACCAGATCAACTCTCTTTGAATTTTTTTCCTATTTCAAATTCCCAGTTATGTGTACTTAAGAATTTGAGAACCCATTCATAAGAAAAATAAAGATTATGCATTAAAACTATTAATTTATTACCATCAAAATTCAAACACAGTATAATAGTCAATAGATGTTGTTTGGGGGAAAAGGGACTATTATAGTCATTATTTAATATCAATGAAAGCTGGATTTTTTTGGGTCAAATGTTAAAGCTGGATTGGTTATATATTTTTATTTCATTATTAGCTCTAAATATATTTACTATTAAAATATCTCAAAATTTTAATTTGAATATTCAAATATTAAAAAGAAAATACATTTATTACAAATTGTCTTTCTAATATAATTTTTAGTTTTCTCTATAAATCACAAAAGATTGTTACAATCAACATATTTTAAAACTCAATACTTTAACATTACCTGTCAAGTTACATTAAGCCAAAAAAAAAAAAAAGGAATAGCTTGTGATTTCAACTAAAAATGTGAGATGATTGAGAAGAACAAAAGATTATGATTATATTCCATAACCAACGTCAATCTTCTTCAATCGGTCCAATAACCCCTCAAACCGAGTTGTTAATGTTTGGATTTGTGAACAGAGAGACGAAGCATCTTGTTGTTCTCGTCCTCCTGATATTACATCTCTTCATCGTCTCATGTGTAGATGCAGGCAAAGTTGTTTTGATGGATCCCAACAGTATCACTCGCTCTTTCGACGACATGGAAGCTGATTTCTGTGAGCTTCTCTTGATTTTCTTTTTCGTCTACGAGTTGTCCGTCTGTTTCCACAACTTTTTTCTCCATTTCTATGATCATTTGTCCATTGGTTTTATGCTTTTATATGACTTTCCGTGTAATGGTTTATATTCGCTGAAAATGATGAAAGTTTTTGTGTTACAGCTCCATCAGTGAATGTTACGGTAGAAACCGGAGTCCTTCACGTGGCTGAGCCTCTGGACGCTTGCCAAAACTTGAAGAACAAACCGGAGCAGAGACCTAACGGTACTTCCCCTTTTGTGTTGATCGTAAGAGGAGGCTGCAGTTTTGAACACAAAGTCAGAAACGCGCAGAGAAGCGGTTTCAAGGCTGCCATTGTCCATGACAATGTGGACCGCGACATCTTACTAGCAAGTAAAATCTAATACTATACAGGTCTCTAATCTCGAACTGATGCTACAAATCTTGATTTCGCGATTTTTTTGTAAAATCAGTGGAAGGAGACGGGGACGGTATAACGATTCAAGCGGTTTTTGCGACGAAAGCAGCCGGAGAAACGCTCAAGAAGTACGCCGGTTTTGAGGGAACGAGAGTCATGTTGGTCCCTGGTTTAGAGGACCCGGTGTGGACGTTGTCCGCGACCATGTTATTGATTTATTCGCTGGCCATGTTTGTTGTTCTGTCCACTTGTGTCTTCGTATATAGGCAATGCACATCCGATAGCAACGCTACATTTCAGTTCCATGGGATGAGCCAGAGAATGGTGAAAGCAATGCCGAGTGTTGCATTCACTGGTGTACACGAAGACAACACGACTGCTTCCTCTTGCGCTATCTGCCTCGAAGACTACATTGTTGGGGACAAGCTCAGGGTCTTACCGTGCCATCACAGTTGAGTAACTATGCTTTTTTGTTTCCAAAACTCAACTTTTCTCAGCTTTGTTATAACAACAAAAGTGATTGATTCTATGATCAATTTTGGTTGTATTCTTCAGAGTTTCATGCCGCTTGTGTAGACTCGTGGTTGACATCATGGAGAACGTTTTGTCCAGTGTGTAAAAGGGATGCGAGAACAAGCACAGATGAGCCACCAGCTTCAGAGAGCACACCGCTCCTCAGATCATCTCTAGTGCTTATAGATCCTCCTCTTGTGGAAGCTTCTTCACTTTCTTTCTCTCCAGGGCACATGAGCTCGTCCTACATTCAACAATCTTTCAGCTCTTCCTCGATAAATATCAGCCGTATCTCTGAGGATTTCAGGGAACAAGCCTCCCCATTGCAGCAGTCGTCATTCACTGGCCGTATAGACTCTTTGCACTCACCGGGTTACTCGACCATATCACCTCTCAACGCGATCGGCATGCCACCATATCGACCTAGCCCAAGCAATGCGTCGCCTGGGTTAGTCCAATCAACAAATCATCGTTTCAATTCTCTGCACTGCTTGGAATCAGTATCTTCACTGACTCATTTCGCCTCGGCACACTCGCTTCGATACTGTTAGTCAAAACTTCCAGAAGACACCATATAAGAGGAAGAATCTGCCTTTCTTCTGTTTTTGATCTACACATCAGGTCCTTGTAAAAGCTACCTATTAGCAACTAAAAAGATCGATGATATGTAAATCCACCTCTCTGTTCATGTTGGTTACATTCTTAAAATTTTGTTTGGCTCGAATCTGTTTTGTTAAGACGAGAAACATATATAGAATGTCACATGAGACCCAATTTTAACCTTTATGTGGGCTATTTTCTCATCAAAAGTTTGAGATACCTGAGATTTAACTAAACTACAATGTCAGTTGCGAGAGCCACCAGATTCTAGAAGTCATCACTCTGTCCGTTGTCTTTTTGCTTTTGTTTCTCTCATCCAATCTTTGCATTCCTCTGAGGAGCCATTGGGATAAGCTAGTTGCCATGTGAGCAGTTTCTGTTGCTGCAAAACAGAGCAATGGGGGTTTTATGTCTAAGAGAGAAGCAGGAGAGGATCAAAGATTCAACTGTAAGCGATTCAATAAATGAAATGAAAGCCTTATTATACCCATTCACGGATGAGGGATCCTCCCTTAAGCTCTGCAATTTGCATGATCTCCCTGCCATTCACTAGAGGCTTTACATCCCAGATGTTCTCGAGACCTGTATGTTCAAGCAAGAAACATCATTACGTATGTGGAATGGTCCCCCCAAGCACATATACAGATACAGCGCTCGTGAATCGCTTATCAAAATCAGAAAGATCGGCCCAAAAAAAAAAAGAATGCAGGCTAACGCTTACCCAGTTCACGAATGGTTTCTTCGATTGTTAGATAACTTTCTCGCAACTTGTCCAGTTGGAAGTCCAGGTGCCCAATTTCTTGATCTTCGTTCACGCCATCAACCGTACTCAACAACAAAGATGTTAAGAGTGCAACACGCCAAAATTCTTTGATATCCCTAAGAAGAAACCCTGCAATAGTAACAAAATAAACCATTATATGTGTACATCTGGTCGGATCTAATGTATGATACCCGTAGAAAAGACTATCAAAAGTTATATAAGCTACCATACTAATTAAATTGATAAAAACAATCTATAGAATTAGTACTCTTATGATATTCAGAGTATTGTACGCGTAACAGAACGACATCACTAAGATTATCTATGCCATCGATTAACTACAATAAAATTAGTAACCTTCTTATTATTTTCTCGAGTTTCATAGATAGGTGTAATACAATACCTGTGAGTACTCTTATTTTCGAAGTTACTGGGACTTCTGGATCATCAAGGGAGATGGACTTCCAGTGCTCAAGAACATCAGTGGCCCAATCCAGCTTGTCCAGTTGAACGTCATTCTTCAACTCAAGGGAACGAATCAACGACAGGAATCTCTCCGTGGTACGATGTATATTTATAACCTGAAGATGATGGATTTCGTCATTATGATAGTCACGAATCTGTTAATATGTAAAGCAGTCAAACTTAAAAAGGCATGGTAAAACGAGATAGTGTGCTCTTGAACAGGACGACACCAACAATCTAATACAAACCACAAGTATCGCTCTGTAGTTACTGCAATTTAGGCCTAGGATACCAAGCTCACCGTTTCAGCATCACTAGTCTTCCGCTTCATGGAGAATTTGAAGATGTGGTTGACAACAGGAATCTGAAAAAAAGAGCTCAAGATTTGTTAGCTTAGATAACCAAACTCAGATTTATATAACACAAGAAAAGATGACAAGAGTTCATATACATAAGGAATTACAGTACCAATTTGCCCTTATTGTCTTTGTAAACGGTTTTCCTAAAGGGAAGAAACAGAGCAGCATACAAAGCAAGCCTTCTTTGTTCACCCTAAACCCAAACGATAAGACACCAATAAAAATCTAATTAGATACAAAAGGATAGGGGAAGTCCATCTTTAGCAATTAAACAAGAAGTGATTGCGAGAGAAAATAACTCACACTAAACTTTCCTAGCCCGGGTGTTTGAATGAGGCTCCACATAGCTTCCAAGTAGGCTTGGCAGACGCTGAAATAGGGAGACATTTACGTGATTTTTGCAAATATGAATAGCAGTGCCACAGAACCAGATTTGCTATGAGATAAACCTGCCGCAATTCTCTGATGGTGCAGGCTCAGATGAAGAGGGAAAGGCAAAGACAGCCCCAAATAGCTTCAGATCAGAAAGATACGTTACTGCCGAAACTGGTCCATTCCCAGATATCATCAAATCGATCTGCAACAAGAAATCAACGTGTGTAACGATAAACTCTAAAAAGATAGGTTGCCAGAGAAATTAGTTTTATCCAGCAAGCAAGAAGAACAGATATATACTTCATTCCCGATCCGCTCTCTGCTAATTTTTTCTCCAAGAGCTACCCTTACTTCCTCACTTGAAGCAGCTTGTTTTAGTTCTTCATCCAGAGTAAAACCAAATCTTGCACCTGTTATGTAAGTTGATTAACCAAGAGTGACAAGACAACAACCACATAGCTCTAATAAAGGATCTGAGATATGCAACGTAATGACATAAAACGAAAAAAAAAACACAAGTACCAAAGCGAATAGCCCGGAGAACTCGCAAAGGATCATCTAGAAACGTAGCTTTTGCAGGCAACGGTGTAACAATTCGTCCCGACTTGAGGTCATCGATGCCTGTGATTTTATCAATTCCTTGTAAACTATTATTCTCAACATCACATGAAATAGATGCTGGTAACACTAGGATGCACTAACCTCTTTCTGTAAGATCTTCTACTGAGCCAGTGTTAATGTTGTAGAACAAGCTGCCAAATTTAAGAAATAAATAAAAAAAATGTCACAATTTGCATTCAGTGATACGGAGATGTAGTTATGCTAAATCTTGTACTTGACGAAGGTGAGAGTACCTATTTATGGTTAAGTCTCTCCTGTAAGCATCCTCTTTCGCAGTGCCAAATTTCTGTAATAAAGCAAAGAAATAAAAACGACTTAAAACTAAGCAGCACAAGAAGTTAGGTCCTTTCCATTGCAACCCTCGATAGCTAGAATAATTTCCGGCCTGTGTTACGCATTCGCAGCAGATAAATAAGGAGCAATACCATTGTAGGAATACGACTATTTTCTGCGTATTCTTCACATCTCAAATTAACAAAATCTATCCATTGGTCATTGATGCGCATCTTTGCTGTCTCCAAATGTTTGGACTGTTCAGGATTCCTGCGCCAACAAAATTAAACAAGTCAACACCAAGAACTATATAGCTTATGCGAATTAGGTTCAGCAAGAGAAAGCTTGGCATTACGAGCCTAAATGAAAATCCAGAAAAGTTCAGGACCTTTCTATAACAGTGTCGCCTTGTACTTTCTCGCCTCTAGAAGATAAGTATTCCTTGAGCTTATCAAGAAATTCACTTCCAGACATATTGTCGATTGCTATGTCAATATCATCACTCTCTCTCCCTAGAAGCTGAAAACAAAGATACAACAAACACAAACTCTTCTCAACACAGAAATTTCCAGTATGCAATGGCAAATCCTCCTAGAGGCAAAGAAATCAAAGAATGTTCATCTTCTAGACAAGTTCCCTAATTTTCTTGTCGACCTTTCCTCTAATTTAGAATCCAAAAGTGGGGCACTCCGATTATTCCCTAATATGATTGAATCCCACCAGGTGACCGGAGCGTACCTTATCGCGCACCCAGCCGCCGGCGACACGAAGCTCCGTGTCGAGGTAGAAGAATCGGAGAGTACCGATAAGCCGGTCGAAAATTTCCCGCTCTTTCTCAGTGAGATCAATCTTCTCCTTCAACTCAACTGGGAGATTCGATCGCTTCTCCCCCTCCACGCCAACGGCCTTCGTCATCGAGAACAAGCAACAGCACAGACTCCGAGAAACAACACCGGGAACGGGAAGAAGCAATGAAGAACGAAATGCGACGGCAGAGAAAGGGCTAGGGTTACGGTAGCGAGAACGGGAAATCAGAAGAAGAGGTCTCGGCAGACTTTTAAGAGTGTTGATTGGAAGAGATAGTCTCATGGTTTTTTAGCGGCTCCTTTAGTGGCGCGTTTTTCTTCTCCGGCGTTTTACGGGCGGCGTCTGAAGAGTCTATGGGCCATGTTGGATCCGTATAAGTCAGAACTATCATTAAGCCCAATAAAGCCCAATTGTCATCACAAACCGAAATTTTATAAAAATATGAATCTGCGTGTCGCTGGCGGCCCAATTATCATATTCTAGATAACTATTCTTCGCCGGCGGCCCAATTGTCATCACTCGCATAATTTAACATCGACGTGTTTTTTTTTTTTTTTTTCTGAAAATAAAAGAGGGAAGCATCACGTGTTATTCCACACAATGGTTATATGAACAATTGATGCAAGCATCACGCATATTTTAGATCTTATTAACCAATGTTTGAACCAGTAGTTATCCAAAGTGTACCTCTCTTTTTTCATCTGTTGCAAATATCCTATTTTAAAGACTTTACGTGATATCTACGAAACCATTAAGTCTTTAAATGGATTTACACGTACGCATATTGCATTAGATCCTGAATACCTAGAAAAATGCAATATCCATTCCCGCCGTTGATGACTACGTACGTAACAAACAAAATCTAAGTAGAAATACACATAATTTTCGCTTGTATATAATTCCACAGCTTGTAACTTTTATCTAGTTTTCTAGTACGTACTACAAAATTTAGGTCCTTAGTATATATGATAAAGCCACGAATGGTTTTGCGCATAGATGTAAATGGTCAATTTATATATGTGGTCACATAGGTGGAATAGTTGAAAATGTGAATACCTCTCTCACCTCTCATCAATTACAACTACAAGACCTGACTTGTGAAAGCAAAAATACAAGTCCGAGATTTAACATTGTTCCACGTGAACCGCATGCACCGCTACGCTCCACTGACAATTATATTTGGCCAAATCTACGTTTTAGTTGGTGGAAACGATTACATATATCAATGTTCCTAAAAATATATATATATATATATATATATATATATATCAACTTGCGATGAGAAAGTACTGTCAACTATTTCAGTTTACGCAATTATCAACTTACGTAATTATTATCATTGGGGCCCTTATTATTGATTCTCAAGATCACACTTTTTTTTGTTCAACGTACCGATGGATGATGATAATTAGTATAATACCGCCTGAATTTATTTGGGTTGGGATTCCTAAGTACGTACATGATTTTTGAAAAGCTTTAGATATGTGTAAATGACTTATAATGTATCATGATTTATCCACCGACAAAACACAAGAAATCTTTAATCAAACCTTATATGTGTTACGTCTCTTGCATAAATTTGGAAAACGCGAATTCAATTGTGACAAGAGTTTATTCTCCGCATATACCTCTTTACCAACAAGTCCTAAACACACGTATCAACAATGATACATTCAAGCAAGAAGGATACAAACTGGTAATTTCAGTGAACTGGTTGTTATATCACATTTTTTACAATAATTAAAAGCGAAATATACAAGACGGAAAAAGTAAGTAAAGTTTTAAAAGTAATATAATAATAACATAAAAATTGATTAAAGCCGACCGAACCGGCGAAAAGTCCAGTGGCCCAATCGATACATATTCAGCCAGGAAAGATTGTCAGAGCGAAACGATGTCGTTACCTTCGCGTGGATAGCACGCTCCAATCACCACCTCTCTACGACAAAAGCCACTAGCCCTTGTCCCTCTCTCTCTCTTTCTCTCCACCATTACCACAGTCAAAGAGGGAGAAAAACGAGAGACTTTCACGTTCGTCGTTTCTCTTCCTCTATATATATCTCACTTCTGCCTTTCTTGTTCCTTTTTTTTCTTCTTCTTCTTCCTTTCTCCTTCTCTATCCCTCTCTTTCTCTCTCATTTATTAGCCGGGCGATTTCTCCGTCTTAAAAAGGTCTGTTTATTTATCCTTTTGTTTTCACATCTTTCTCTGCATTTTCATAAAAACAAATTCTCTATTAGTTTGTATCCAATTCTTTTACAACCACAGGAACAGTACTTATGACGATTAAAAATGTTTTAATTACTTTTATGTCCAGATAAAAGTCCACTCTTAATATCTCCGTTACATTCCAAGAACCTTATCGAACAAAACAAATCATTTCCCAAAAACGTTCTAACAATTACTAGTTTTTATTTTATTTTTACCAGATCTATACGCGAGAACAAATTGTTAGTGATTATTCTCGATGGACCCTCTCCGAGGAGTAAACTCTCAAAGCTCGATATCGGAGCTGGACGACCTGGCTCGGTTACTTGACCGGCCGAGGCTAAACATCGAACGGAAAAGGTCGTTTGACGAGAGGTCTTTCAGCGAAATGGGAGTATTAGACAACGTCAATTCTCCCGGCGGTCCGTCTGGATGGGAAACTCCGGCATCTTCGTCTAGAAACTCGTTCGAGCCTCATCCTATGGTCGCTGAGGCTTGGGATGCCCTACGGCGATCTTTGGTTTACTTCCGTGGCCAACCGGTCGGTACTATCGCTGCCTTCGACCATGCTTCTGAGGAAGTCTTGAACTATGACCAGGTATCGCATTTTTTTATAATATTTGGTGTGTGTCCCATAATCAACCATACTCTGCTTTGAAATGATTTTATGATTAATGTTACGTATTTACCAAGAGAAGCCAATGAAAAAAAAGAGAGATAAATATTGAGTGATTAGGTTTTCGTAACATATGTTAAAAATGTTGGTTAGGTTTTCGTAAGAGATTTTGTTCCAAGCGCACTAGCTTTCCTAATGAACGGGGAGCCAGAGATAGTCAAGAACTTCCTCCTCAAGACACTTCAAATCCAAGGAAGAGAGAAAAGAATCGACCGGTTCAAGCTCGGTGAAGGCGCGATGCCGGCTAGCTTCAAGGTCCTTCACGACCCAGTCAAGAAAACAGACACTGTCATCGCCGACTTCGGAGAGAGCGCGATCGGAAGAGTGGCTCCCGTTGACTCAGGTTTCTGGTGGATCATTCTCCTCAGAGCCTACACCAAATCCACCGGAGACATTTCTCTAGCTGAAACACCTGAATGTCAAAAGGGAATGAGACTCATTCTATCTCTCTGTCTCTCCGAAGGTTTCGATACTTTCCCGACATTGCTTTGCGCTGATGGATGCTCCATGGTCGATCGAAGAATGGTAATAAACTAATAATCGTCTCTCGGTTTGGTTTGGTTCAATTTTAAAGTCGACTTCGTTTGATTTTGGATTAAAATAGCAAAAGTTTAGAAAAAATGTCACTGTTAATGTTATGTTGTAACATTTTTCATACAATCAACCCTGTTTTCCTAGCTCAAATCCATAAATTCTATTGGTTTCGTCGGTTTTGGTTCGGTTTATTTAGTTTCATTAGACAAATTTTGGTTTGGTTAATATAACGAATTAGGGTCTCACGGGACAGAATATTGCGTGCGCAGGGGGTTTATGGGTACCCGATCGAGATCCAAGCTCTCTTCTTCATGGCTCTGCGATCAGCAATGTCGATGCTAAAGCACGACGCAGAAGGGAAAGAGTTTATGGAGAGGATAGCGATGAGGCTACACGCGCTTAGCTTCCACATGAGAAGCTATTTCTGGCTCGATTTTCAGCAGCTCAACGACATTTACCGTTACAAGACGGAGGAGTACTCGCACACGGCGGTCAACAAGTTCAACGTCATCCCTGACTCGATCCCTGAGTGGGTCTTCGACTTCATGCCTCTCCGTGGCGGTTACTTCATAGGAAACGTTAGTCCAGCTCGTATGGATTTCAGGTGGTTCGCTCTTGGTAACTGTGTAGCGATCCTTGCCTCTCTAGCCACGCCTGAGCAGTCGGCAGCGATTATGGATTTGATCGAGGAACGGTGGGAGGAACTGGTCGGAGAGATGCCGGTTAAGATTTGTCATCCGGCGATCGAGAGCCATGAGTGGAGGATCGTTACCGGTTGTGACCCTAAGAATACTCGGTGGAGTTACCATAACGGAGGTTCTTGGCCAGGTGAATTTTCTTTTCTTTTCTTTCTTGAATTTCTCCATTTTTTATCAAAATTATGACAACAAAAAAAAAAAACAAATTTACCGACAAAAAGAATTTTTTTCCTTTCTTTTAACTATGTGAAAGTGGAGATTCTAATAGGGGATGATCTAGTGGTGTTGGAAACAAAATCATTGAGGAAAAAATGCATAAATCTTCTTTACATAAAAGTCTACTGCAATATTATTGTTTTTGAAAAATAAAGGGTTATCATTATTTACTTTACGTGGTAATCATTTTTTTTTTCCGGCGGCCGCAAAAAGCAGTGCTTTTGTGGCTATTGACAGCAGCGTGCATAAAGACGGGACGGCCGCAGATAGCGAGACGGGCCATCGATCTGGCGGAGTCACGGCTGTTGAAAGACGGTTGGCCGGAGTATTACGACGGAAAATCGGGAAGGTTTATCGGAAAACAGGCGAGGAAGTTTCAGACATGGTCCATAGCCGGTTACTTGGTAGCCAAGATGTTGTTGGAAGATCCTTCTCATCTTGGAATGATCTCATTGGAAGAAGACAAACAGACCAAACCTGTCATTAAGAGATCTTATTCTTGGACTTGTTAATCCTTGTCTCGTCGATCTTTGAGAAAATTCAGCAAAGATTTGGTTAGTTTTGAAATATTGTATTACAAGTTTAACGCATTTTGTATAATTGTTTTCTCTTTTAGTGTAGTGGGATATGATAATTGACAACCAAGTTGTAGACGATTTGTTTACCACATAACATAATTGATCTTCTTCTTTCTTTACTCTATGAGAAAATTCATCAAAGATATGTTAGTTTTCACAAGTAAGTTAAACGCATTTTGTATTATTGTCTTTAGTGTGTAGTGTGGGACATGATTGATAATTTACAACCATATCTTTTAACCACATAATTCATCATATTCTTTCTTTAGTCTCTCTGCTTATCTAATATCATTCTCCCTACAACCACGTCCCAAGTAGGCGCAAGGACGAAACAGAGCCAAGAGGCAATTTTCTCGTCCCCAAGAACACTTC